AAAACCAAAGGTGAAAGGACAATAATAAAATTGTCTTAACCTATAATTAGCCCACGTCAGAGTTAAATTCTAGAACAAATTCAATTGATGTCAATTTTTTTTCACGTGACCCACAATCGAAAAATACCTAATCAAAATAATATTTACAAATAATTTATGCCATGAATAGAAAAAAATATTTTTAAAAATAAAAATATTAATACTGTAGAATTGGAATTTTTTACCTACTTATATGCTAGAACACACGAAATATCTTAAATAAATTTCCTTTTTTTTTTCTAAATGTTGAACCACATTCAATAATAACATTATTTTTTTCTCATCACTTCTGAAATCTAACATTGTCTTAGGTACTCTGAACCACATCTAAAAACCATGAAAATTTTAATTTCATGTCTGTTATACAATAATAGAATTACTGTTTGTCCATAAAACAAATTATTGTTTCATTTTTTTCATATTAACGATAGTCTCTAAATTTTTATTTTTTTCAACAGAACAATAGACATTGCTTATTAAGTAGTGCTCTTTAATTCGCAATTATTCTATGGTGGTAGATGAATCCTGTTAACTAGCATTTACAACACTAAAATATCTATAGAGTATAAATTATATATAATAAAAATTATGGTCTGAGTTATAAATTACTAAACATATTGACTAAGTTTACTAATGTTTGTGAAACTATTATTATTTGAATGATAACAGGTGCCGATGGACGGTGGTGGATGATCAAAACTCAAAATGATCTATTGCACAGGTGAACGCGGTTATTAGGAAATATATGGGCACCACTGAGTTAACAATTTCAGTTATGTACCAGATAAAAATTAATCTCAATAAAATGTATTGAAGTTCTTGACAGTGTGGAAGTGCCTATAAGTTTGCCATTGTGATGACTGTTTTTATAGTAGGTAGGTACCTAAAATATAAATACAATAATATAATTATTAAAATATGCATTAGGTATAATGTCTATATTTAATAATAAAGATAAATCCAACATTCCAATTAGATAAAATATGTTAGACTTATCATCTATTAATGAATTACTTGAGTATGCTTAATAAAAAACAATTTTTTTGTTTTACATTATTGATTATTGAACAATCATATTAGGTATATAGGTACTTAAAGAAGAATAAATAATTTAATGCTTTACAGTTTACATAGTATATGTTTGTTGCAAACCAAATATAAATAATGAATAATTGAACACGCATAACTTACAAAACTATTATTGATTTAAAAAATGTGTGTAGGTAGGTACCTACCACTTTAAAATATACAGTAGGTAGGTATACAAAAATAAAAAATAATGTTTGTTTATTTGAGTTTTAACTTACTTATGAAAAGAACTACTAACTTTTTTTTTAGATTTTTAGATTTATAACTTATAAGAAAAATTCTAATTTTATTGAAAAAAATAAATATACAATATTTAGTACAAATATAGATATTAACATTATTAACGTTGCTGTTACGAATAAAAAAAAAAAAAAAAACTGAGAGCTGAATACCTACTACATTATATTGAAAAAATAGTTTTCGGACAACTCATATTTTTTTTTTCTAAATCGTAACGGTCTACTTCATCATAGCTAGTGTATAGAGTAATAATGTAATTAATATTATGTGTTACTTGTTTTATTAGGTACTCAGTATATTACTCTCTCAATCACTCTCAATTTGAGCTAAACCTACAGAAATTGTATTTTTATTTTTATGAAGAATTTATTTTCAAACTTGTCAATATCATACTAAAAAAATTAAAATTAATTTGTAGTAAAATATTTATGAAATTACACTTTAATTTACCCAAAACTTGAAAAATATATAATATTCATCTTAAGTTTTTCTTCAAATAGTAATTATTGAGAGATTGGTTAAAAACAATTGTTCCGACTAATTATTATTATCAATTATTATTTATAATTTATGTTCATTATTATGACTGTGTTAGTTGCAAAACACAAATTTATGCTAGGTAAACAAGTATTGAACGTTTACCACACAACACGTTATGGTATTATAACAGGTAATACACGTATACATTTTGTCCGTAAAAACGATGGAGTGCATCGAAATATATTAACTGTTTATAAATGTTTCTAAAAAATTAAGAATTTAAATAAAATTAAATTAAAATGCAATTATATGGTAAAAACATTTGATAAACGTTTAAGCAATACATTTATAAAACTAAGTAATATTTCCAATTCCGACAATGTATAGAATATCTATACGTCGGCCAAGGCAAATAAATACTTTGAAAACAATTTAAAATTGTTTTTACAACTTATATAGAAGTGAATACAGAATTAGTAACTCGTAATTAAATTTTATAAATTTAAATGTATAAGGTTATTCTATTTTTTTGAAGACTGCTGCGATTTAAATAAAGTGGATATAATATATACTTCCTACTTACTAGTCGCTATAGTACAGTAGCGTAGCCAGAATTTTTGTTCAGAGGAGGGGGGGACTGATCAATTTTTTACTTAGCTGTAGTTTACTTAGGTTCTTCCATAATTTGAACATGCAGATGCTGAAGTTTTATTTTAGATTTTTGTTCCTATAACCCTTAGCATATATTGATTTAATATACTTGTATACCTACTTTAAATACTTTGGATATTTTATTTTAATAGTAATATACAATAATTTTTAAATTGTCTTAAAATTTTGGAGGGGGGTGGGGCTACAGCCCCTCAGCCCTCCCCCTGGCTACGCCACTGCTATAGTATAATTGTGTTAGTGCATGTCGGCATGTCACTATGTCGGTCATGTCACCGTGTTAAGATTAAAAATCGTTTAAGAAATTCTCATCAGAGTACTCGCGCACTCATTAACATTACAATATTGAAATTAAAACAATTATTTTTTCTCTTTAATAGTAGGTACCATCAATATTAAAATCTAAAAATACATGAAATTATTATTATTTATTAATTTTTAAATTTTAAATAGGTACGAGTATAAGAAAAAATAACCTGGAAGAAAATGAGAACGAACAACCAAAAAAAAAAATTTTTCGCTCTAATTCATAGTTGAAATATGATCATACAACTTGCACTGTAAACCTACTAAGGGTGAACAAATGTTGTTTAATTATTATGCTCAATAAAAATGATGCTCCTTTACGCTTAAAAATTGTATTGGTCATTTTAAGAAACTGCCTGCTCAGAAAACTTAAACGGTCTCGAAAGTCATAAAAGCTCTGACAACTGTCACTATACCTAAATGTAAGATATGTATATCATCATAATTTTAATCGCTATTGCTCATTTAAAAATTTTAAGTTATGTGTTGTTTTCTCATATTTTTTGTTTACTTGAATCTTAATATTTGTGAATTCTGCAATCTGTAATTTTTGTTCAAGACGTAAAGTTACTTTGAATCGACACATTAAAGACAAACATATAAAAACCTAGTTTGGTCATTTTGTAAATCTGACATTGCCATATGATAGGAATCTAACGAGGAAGACAATCCTTGAATGAAGGCAAAATTTAAAAAGAAGATAAAAAATAAATTTTTCATTTTAATGATTAATGATGATAAGGTAAATGTATCTTTATTTTTTCAATTTTTTATGAATTAAAATTCATTGTATAAATCATGATATTTAAAAAAAATTATCGCCACAAATTTTGATCAAAATTATTAATTACAATTACTAAAATTACGTTGAAGCATAAATGTACATACATTTTCAATAACTTGTCTTAAAAGTAGCAGTAGGCAAAAAATAAGAATAATACAATGCAGTGACAGCACCAGGATTTTTTTCTAGGTAGGGCCACAAAAATGAAATTTAAGCAAAAAATGATATATTTATAAAAAAATATGTAATTTGAAAAATGATATTTTATAATTTTTAAAAACTATATAATATTATAATATAGAAATATATTAATCTAAATTACAAACAGACTGTACAGTGAACTAAAAAATACAAATACCATTATTTTTTACTTATGAAAAATGAGAATATTGGTATGTCTAATGTTAGGCCAATGGTAGGGCCAGACATTTTCAAATAGGGCCGTGACCCTACCTGGCCCATCCCTAGCGCCGCCACTGATACAATGACAATTTTTAAATGCATTAATTAGGTACAGTATGAAAAATCGCGGAGAGTATTTAAACGACATATCCATATAAATGGTGACTATCAATTTAAAATTATGAACGATAAATTCATTTCTTATAAAAATGTAATATATTTTTAATGAATTGTTCAATTTACCGTTTATAGTTTTAATAAATATATTTATTTATTTATATGATATAAATTATGATTTATGGTTATGATAATTTATGAGTTATAACTTGTATTTACTTTCATATTTTTAGTAGTTATATCATTTTTATTAGTGTATAAATTATGATACTATTTTAGTTCCTGTATAGTATATACATAATATACATTAAATAAATAAATATCTCTATTTGTCTAGTAATCAGTATACATGCTTTAAGCATATAAATAAAGTAAAATCCTTGCAGTATTCATAATAGTAACTAGTAAGCATAGACTAATTAGACTATTATATATATATTATACACACGCACCGAACACAAAAAATTTTGAATTTATGAACTACAAGTATGTAAATAGCACAAATAATACACACCTAGATGCTGTGGCTACTGACTTGGATATTAAATATTAGGGGACCTAAACTGGTGGTTTGCATTTGAACTGAGAACACATTTTTTATAGTTTCTGATATTCATTCATATAATTATAAAATATATAATATAGTTTTTACATTTTTATAAATAAAATGTTTATTGGTTATTCATTTTTTACATGAAAAAAAATTTATCAAAGTTGTTTCAGACTATTGAGGTTTAGTAAGTTTCAATGCGAACGCTTGTAGAAATTAGTTGGTAACTCGTAATTTATATGATAACAAATCATAATAAATATATAGATATAAAAGTATAAATGTAATGATAGTCATTTTATTACTCAATAAAAATAAAGAGTAGAACAAAGCTTTAAAGTAATTAAAACCACATAAGAGAAAGACAACATTAAATAAATAATACAAATTGTTTATGTTTTCTTCAATCCAGTGTATTCCATCCCCACAAGAGGATTAGCTTTTTTCGCATGATATTTTTTATATCCAACTTGTTTTTTCTTATAATACGCTTTATCTTTCTTTTTAGTACCTTTGTCTTCTTCTTCTTGGTCTTTTATATATTCTTTTAAGGAAGTAGGTACCATATAATCAGGGACATCTGCCATATGATCTTGTAGTTTCACTGTATGTAAAGCTTTGTCATGTCTCAAAGACAGTAAATCACGAGGATTTTCTTGAAAATATCGCTGTATAAACAATGTAAATTTATAAATTAGATAAACTTGATAATATTAAGTTATATAAAAAATAATCATTATTTTACTTTTAATTTTTTTGAATTTAACATTTCAAATTTTATTTCTTTTAGTCGAGCTTCTCGGACAGCAATTTTAGTAACAGCTCGCCAAGCATCTTTAGCTCGGTATCTAAATCCTTCAACTTCTTCTAGTTTAAAGTTAAATTCTTGAAATATGTCATTTTGTTCTGAAATACCTTGTTTTATGTAATCTTCCACATCTTTTAATAAATGTTGTTCTTTTATATTTAAAAAGGATATGGCTGTGCCCTAAATAAATAACACAAGAAATTAATTATTTAGAAAATTATATCTAAAAAAAAAACTTTCATACTTTATTTTTTCCTCTTGCTGTACGGCCAACTCTGTGTATGTAAGAATAAATATCTTGAGGAAAATCAAAGTTAATAACAATTGACACAAATTGAAAATCTATTCCTCTTGCTATACTAAATTCTTTATCATGTTTCCGTTTACTAGAATAAGAAATAAAAATAAATATTTGTTAGTATTATTCAATTAAATTTTTAAAAGCTAGATTTTGTTTTTACCTAGTCTTAGTTGAAGTTATTTCATGTTCTTCATCTAAAAATTTTTCATCTGATGCTATTATTATGTCATATATATTATCATTAAATTGATTAATTGTATGACATCGACAACTAGCCGGAAGTTCAGAATTTAATACACAAGTATGAATACCAAATTGTTCCAAAAATAATTTTAACCTTACAAAAAAAAAAAAAATGTATATATAATTATAATCAAACTTCAATAAAATTGAAAAGTATACTAACTTGTAGCATTTATCTACAGAATTAACAAATACTATAGTTTTTCCTTTTACAAGTTTTAACTTAAAACAACAGTATAAAATTACTGCTTTATCTTCTTCTTCAGCATTTAACTTGTAATGAGTTAATTGTGATAATGGAGCCAAATCAGGTTCTTGCAGTTTTAATATGACAGCATTTCGTAGAAGCAACTTTTTTAATTCTAAAACATCTTCTGACAATGTTGCACTAGCCAAAACAGCTTGATAAGTTTTTGGTAAAAATCTATTGCACACCAAGGGTATATTTTATCATTTTAAATAGAATCAAAATTTGACTTTTTGTTTTTACTCACTTTATAACTTCTTTAATTTCCTCTTCAAAGCCAAATGAAAATACCAAATCGGCTTCATCAACCACCAGTGTTTGAAGTTTTTTAAGAGTGAAGTTTTTTGCTTGTAAATGAAGCAATGCTCTGGCTGGTGTAGCAACAATAATATCAGGTGCTATATTTAATAAAGGCTGTTGTTCTTTCATATCAATCTAAGTAAATTAATAAAGTAAGTTTATATTTTAGATTCTCAATGGAATGATAAATTTATTGGTTTATCAATATTGTTTTTATATTATTAATGAGTCACCAGGTTATGGAAAAGTAAAAATACTTCAGAAAAAAAATATCCTTAGAATTATTAGCTGACATTTCTAATTTGAGGAGAAACATTTTATCTCTATTCAGAACTGTTTTTTGCATACAATAATTTATCATTGAATTTAAATTTAATATATTAATGATTGTGGGGACCTACTCAATGGAGAGATACATTTGGTGCTTACTTTATCAGCAGAGCAACTGCTATGATTTATTTTAATACAGAAAGCATCGATTATCCACACTACAAAATGTGTAAGATTTATTAATTTTATAATTGGAAATTTATTTTAAATAAATAAATATATTTCCTATTTTTAACATAATACATATTTTACTTTATATCATACTATACTTATATATAATGCATAAGTATATCAGTTTTATTTCTTATTATGTAAAACATTTGAATTTATGGTTATTGTATAATTTTAACCATTGATTGATTATCCACATCTCTTTCAATTATAATTAGTGTAAATAATAGATGCTCTACTATTTATTAATAACTTGGACCTTAAAGTTATTTAGTTATAAAAAAAAAAAAATTGTATCATATAATAATATAACTATAAATTTAAATTTAATTATCAATTGAGTTAATACTAACTTGATCAGATATATCAACACATTTAACAACTCTTGAACATTTTATGGTTAACTGAAGTATATTCTTAAAAATCTGGTTACATAGTTCTTTACTTGGAGCTAATATTAATGCTTGTGTACAATAGTCATCAGGATTTATCTAAAACATTAGTTAAGTTATGGAATGATAATAATTATTGGTAATAAACTTAAGAAATTTTAAAAATCATTGATATGTATTGGCAATGGATCATTTTCTTACATCTTTGTACTCTAATATTTTTTGTATTACAGGTATAACAAATGCTGCTGTTTTTCCAGATCCAGTTCTTGCCCTCACCAACATATCTTTGCCTTCCAACAGGAGCGGAATACCACGTTCTTGAACTAATGTGGGTTCTGTCCAACCCTGATTCGCAATTGCCTATAGGAAAATAAATTGTAAAAGAAACCAGTCTTGTAAATTTGGATTAGATTTCAAAAAAAAAATCTATTTGATAAAAATTAACAATGTAAATAAAACCCACTTTAAGTATACGATCGTCTATACTCATTTGATGAAAGTTAATATGAGATTCCATGATCAATGGAATAGGACAAAAAACAAAGCTTAAAATTAAATTATGAAAACAACAATTACATCGACAAAAAAAGAGCACGTGCTAGAATGAGAGTTGATACTAAGCAGTAAGCGGGTCTGACGTCTGAAAGTGAAACGTGATTCATAAACTGTGATAAGCATTATCAATTATTATCTATTATCAAGCCATGGGAACACGGTCTTAGAACACGGATAATAGATATACGGTCGAAGCCAAACACCGCTAGCCAATTAAAAACGATTATTGTTATATGACGTCACAATAGACCTAAATTCTCGCGGCTGCACGGCAATACTACGGACGACAAGCGTATTTAATATATATTTTCATCTTTGAACTTAAATTGATTTTTAATTTAATGTTTCTTTAATACCAACTTGGTTTTTATTTTTTTAATGAAAAGTATACCTATACTATGAGTAATATTTGTAATTAATTAAATAAATAATGAGTTAATTACACTAATTAACATTCAAAAAAATAATTGTTCAATCATTTTTATGTAGTAATAACTTAAGGAGTAATATTGTAGTTCTGGAGATTTTTTTTCTAAGATCGCGAATTATTTCCTGGGGTTCTTAAGATTGTTATTCTGTTTACCATATTTTAATTACGTATTTTAACATATAAAATATTATGGATATCAATGAATAGTATTGAGTGATTTAAGAGACTGATATATTTAAAATTAACTGAATTTATTTAGCTTTGTGAATTTTATTTTACATAAATACATTAACATAAATTTATAATACAAACATTTAATAATAATAATGTATTTGAAACAAATTATGCAAAAAATAAGATAAGAATTTACAAGTTCAAACTTTAATCTTACAAATACAATATATAACCAATTAATAATTTTTACACAAATAAAAGTATAATAAATACCTATTTACATCATATTTAAATTATATATATATTATCATATTTACACATTTACATTAATTAATTAAGAATCAGGAACAATTAATATAAGTAAAAAAATATTATAATAAGGTTTAAATACTATTTTTTTTAATATTACAATCCCATACAATATTTAAGTTATTATTTTTTTCATTTTTTTTAGTTGATTTTCTATCTGTGCTTGATGTTTTTTTACCTTCAGATCTTTCAGCTATAAGATTATCATTCAGCAGTTTAATTCTAATGTAAGTCCTTTGGAGAATAAACGCTTTAATTAAATCTTCAGGCACATCACATTTTTTTTTTATTAATTTAGTTAATCTTTTAACAATATTTGATTCGGTATCAATTTTTTCTTTGTGAAACTTTTTAAAGAGGGTTTCAAAAACTTTAGCTTGCTTAACCCAATCCGTAGACGGTTCAGTTAAACCACCAAATGACAGATGTTGAACCCAACTTGGTGCGCTATATGAATGATCTGGTTTTTTGTCTTTGGTATAACAACCCAAGTGGGGATATTTGTTTTTGAATTTACGGGCAAGCCAACCACACAAATAAATAAAACCATCTTCTTCATTAGTTGTTGGAAGATTATTTTGTGTTGATGATGATTCAGATGATGACAAACTGCTATCAGATAAATCATTTTCTTCGTTATTGAAAGGGATGTTAACATCTGCAGTTGCCATTACATTTGCTACCAAATATTCTTCCAAATTTAATTTTTCCTGTGGTGTTTCAATATTAAGTTTGTCCTGTACTACCCCCGGGTTTTTACCGAGCACAATTATTCTAATTCTGTACATTGCATTTAGGGGAGTAGGGTGGTCATTAAGTCCTCCCCGACTTCTAATTAAAGAAAAAAAACTTTCAAGACTATCTTGATTAAGTCTGTGAGTGACTATATAAGATATATTATATTTATCTTTCAAATCTTCAAAAAGTAATTGAGTAGATTTTATGGAAATCAAAATTCCTTTTTGAAATGTTTGTAAAGTATTTTTGCCTGCACATCTCATTGAATATATTACCTTATACATTTTATCCAAACAATTATTCTGGTCTTCTAAATTTAAGCCATAAGGCTTTTTGGTGCACAAAGTTTCAGATGGTGTATACGAATTCATTATGTCAAACCAGTTACTTACAACTTCAATAAAGTGACCAGTATTTTCCGATAATACCTGATTTAAACCTGGTTTATAATGGATCAAAGCTGTAGCAACACTATGGGAGAGTAATTGTGCGGCTAATCCGACATTTTGTCTCTCGGCCTTTACACATTCCAAATGTTTCTGTGATAATCTATGACAAACTGAAATTTCTGTATTAGTTACTTTAAGTAACTCTTTTAATGGTGTTGCATTTATCATACAACCGTCTGAAAGAATAAATCCTGTGTCTAAAAGCCAATTTCGAATTAGTTTAAGAAGATGTGGGGCATCTGCCAAAAAATAAATTTTTTCTTTTGTGTTAGGATGTAGAAAATATGTTTTGTCAATAGTTATACCCAACTTCTTCCATAACCCAACATTACCACCACCACAATCAGATACACAGGCAACCACATTATATGAATTTTCATATAAAATAGATATAGCTTCAGACAGAATTTCCGGTGTAATTAATTGATCAAAATTGACATATATTGGTTGTTTCCAATTCTTAAAGATGCCTCTCACCATGATTACTTGCATTTGACTGTGGGGCCCTATGACTTGATCGTTTTTTTTATCATACTCATAAGCTGATAATATCTTCATTTCATCAAATTGAATAATACACAATAATTCAATACTATTTAAATTTAGCGCTGCTATTTTCATTATTCTAATAACGTCAACCAAAATACCCTGACGGAAATTTAATCTGGAAGCCCATTTAACTAAAGTTGATACATGTGGCAATGGATAGTTCAATTTGTTTCTTAGATAAATGTAACACCTTTTACTAAGATATCGTAATGTAAAAGCTTTTGAAATATCTTCTGTGCTCCAAATCACTTTTTTTTTCTTTTTAGTTATTAATTGTAATTGTGTTTGACTGAACACTATTTTTAAAGATTCATTTAAGATATGAGTTTGCGAAGCTTGTTCCCCAAATTTTTGAGAAAGAATATTACATTTTTTGTTCAAAGTATTAATACGATTTTTTTGAAATCTATTGAATTGAGATAAATGTTTATACTTTGTTTTCAATTTGTCATGGTCGTTAAGTAATTGTTGGTACTTATGTTCAATTGATTCATTAATTAAAGTAGGCAACTCTTCGTGTACTTTATCTTCATCTTCTTTTGCTATATCTTTATTCTCTTGAGTTGGTAACATTAAACTTTGAACAATAGTTGCATTTTCACGCATATTTGCACGTACTTGTCTAGATGATAATGTATTAGTTAACACATTTGGTAAATATTTCTCTTTTAAATGTTGTGTTGGAATAGCTAAACAAAAAAAAAAAAATTAAATTAAGGTTAATAATTGTAAAGAAATAAAATATTATAATAAATAATTGATACCATTTTGTTTTAATTTTCTTTTTATTTTGATGTTCATTAATTGGCTTCTCAAATCAACTTCAAAATCGTTTTCCAAAAAATGTACACTACAAATTGTACTGGTCTTATGATTCCACTTATCTTTTCTACGGCAGGCATTAATCCAAACATGGCATAGTTTTTGATCTTTTGGAAATGTATGATAAGATATGTTAGAATTTTTTTTTTTTGTTTCCTGTAAACTATTTGAGCAAACAGCAACAGCACATCTAGTTCCTGGCATCTAATTAACAATATAATTATCAGTAATTTATTAATTGTTAACATTTTATTTTTTAATAATTTATATAGGTATCAATTCAGGAACCTTATTACTTAATGTGCAAGTATAATAATTAACACATATTTAAAAACAAGATTGATCCATAAATTACTATAATATAATTCTTTACAGTTTACATAGATATGTAAAGTAATTATAAATGTAAGTAATAACTTCAAAGATAGATTATAGATTTATTATTTAAACTTCTACAGTACATTGTAATTTGTAACAACTAATATTCTAATATTGTACAATTACTTACTTTAACGTTCAATTAATTGTTTTATTCTTCTTTGCAATAAGTCGACAAGTAGACGGAAACAATGTTAAAAAAAAAAAAATAGTTGGTAAACACTAAACAATGATAGAGTTTTGGCGCATTACTGCATTAGCGGGCTAGCGGCTGGATTGCGGAGGTCTATTCTGACGTCACGCTCTTTGAAACCACGCCCCCCAAACAACACAATGCTTCGACCGTATATCTATTATCCGTGGTCTTAGAAGACCGTGAATGCAATTCTATATAGTCATGGTATCAAATGATTGGTTACGGGTTTGGTTGATTGGTTGGTAATTCAGTGATTATTGACTAAAAACTCGGTTATAGGTATATTTTCAACTGTGACCAAAAGTAAAAAGGTACAAGACAATTGACGTGAATAGACAATACTACAATAGTGATAAACTTAAAACTGATCACTATGATAATATGATAATAAGATTAAGATATATTAACATTTAAATTAAGATAATTAATTAACTAATAACTATTAAGTTAGATGTTAGATTTATAATTATTTTTATTTTAACTAGTACATCATTTTCTATGTGTACATAATTCTAAATTTTTTCCTACGTAGTTTATTAGTGTTTTAAATAACTGAACATAAAGACACATTTGAAAAATATCATGGTAAGAAGTGTTTTGATATTTAAATGACATTTTTTTATCACAATAAATTCCAGTGTGAAGATGAATGGTCAGATATTGAAATACGATTTGAAAAAGAAGGCATTGACTATAGCCGTTTGAAGACTGAGGAGAAATTGATTCATGTTTGGAGATGGTTAGTTGATGCTGATATTAATTTACAGAATGCAAGGAAAATGATTGAAAAACTTCGTTTAAAGCAGAATGAAGAATTGGAGGTAAGTTTTGTTATATTTTATGTTTTAAATTTCATAAACAATAACTAATGATTACTAGGATATGGAAAATTATATGGTTCATGTACGAGTACTTGCTGATAAACGAATTGATGATATGGAAAAAACAATGTCCATTTTTGCAGAGCAAGTTGCAAGGCTTGAATGTGAATTAAATAGTTTAGAGTCGATAGATGGTGATAATGTCTGTGAAAAGGTAAGATGCAAATAAATGTTGTTATATGATAAATAACTTATTGTTAGAACTTTTAACTTTGCATGGCATTTTAAAAATAAAATAAGTATAGGTTCAAAGTAAATATTATCAATACATTTTTCTCACCATTCATATATTTGATTTTCAATGCAAATAACTAGGGAATGAACATGGTTAATAAATAAGATTTTTTTAATTTTCAAGTTTTAATGTAAAAAATTAAAACTGAAATGTCATTGGAAAGTAAGTTTTAAAATAAAATGTTTATTATCAATACTTCTTGTCTTTTTAGGTTTCAAATTTGATTCTTAGTTACACATCTCTTGTAAACGAAGTAAATGTGTTAAAAAAATTTAGAAGTTTTGATGCCAATGGAATATGTAAAGAATCTGATGATGTTTTAATAATTGAAATGATTAAAGTAAACATCTAACATTATACACCAATTATAACATAAAAAATAAGTTTATATTTTTAATAAGTTATTACTTTTAGATTTCTGCTGAAAAAGAGTCTTTAAAACGACAAGTTAAAGAATTGGAAGAACGGATAAGTGTCTATGAACTGGCTAAAACAGAATATAACACTCAACTGATATCTATGGAGGTATTATTTTTGTATATTAATTTTAACTTATTAATACCTAATCTTATTCCTATTAGATACAGAAGAATTTATTTAAAAATAATTTACAACTATTTTTTTTTAATACTTAAAACACAATTTAAAACTAAAACATAGCTTATTAATTATTATACTAAATGTATAAACAATTAATTATAAAAAAAAATGTTTTGTATACAAATTTAACTTTTTCATTAATTATTTTTTATTGAATATGCACTCTTAGCTATCAGAAAGTTCAAACAAAATTGATGGGAAAGATTCTCTATTAGGTAATTGATATTTTCTCTAGATATGCCTTTGCAATTACTATCCTGTGATGACGATGAGTTATAATAACTATTGACAGTTTTATATTTTAATAGTTGCTAATTTTGACTTCTAAGTAAATTGAATATAAACATTTTTGTTTATGTAATAAGAGATTAATTAAATTAGGTATTCATTAAAGTTTGGAAGTTGACAAGTTCTTTTCATCATTTAATTTTGTGAACTAAAATAATGTTATTAAAAACCAAATATCTTTTCATCAAATAAAAATGTAAACATTGATGTGTTGAAAGAATAATAAAAATGTTTAATTATATATTTTAGATAAATTTTATTAAAAATGAAAAAATAATCAACTTCTGAACAATAAATTTTAATTTTAATCTAATTTTGTTGTGCATGACAAGTGATAATTTTCAAGTTTATTATGTTTGAAATATGAGCATGAATATTTTTGTATAACTATTAAGTATTGAAAATATTTTTAACTGTTTATAAATAATGAACTGAAATACATGATACAAGCTTATTGGAAGTAATGTCTTTCAATTTGTGCTTGGTATTTAAATTATGTAACTACATAATATGTGAATGCTTTTTCTTAAGTAACGTATGATAAATGATCAAATTAGCAAGAGTTTTAAATAAGTAACTAATCCTTTTTTTATGTTCTACAATTCCTTATTTATACTTAATAAGCTTCTTTGAACAATATAATATCCAGTACATGGATATTATTGAACCCTGAATGAAGCATTATTGAATAATGAAATGCACGAACTAAAAAAAACACCCCTAGAGAATATATTATTATTATGTGTGATAAAATATTTAATTAATACTGAATGTTAGTATTTATATTAAATAACATTTATTAAGCATGTAATTTTTAAATTTTAAGTAGTTTATAAAAATAATTATTATTTTTAACATGATTTAAGTTTAAAAGTATTACTTATTTGACTAAATTATGTGCTACTGATATTTATATTTGAATTTAGTTTTTAAAGAAAATTAATGAAAAATCTTTAATTTTATATTTTTAATTAATTTTATTTAGATAATTCATTATCTTGGAACAGAAATATAACAAACGATGATACATCAAGTATAAGTATTCAGTTATTTAGGTAATTAATTATTATATAAGTTTTTTTTTCAGTTTTATTTAATAATTTTGTATTTTTAGTGATAGAACCAAATCAGCTAATCATTTTTGTAATGATTTCACACAAGAAGAAAAGAATGATAATCAAAAACAAAATGTTAATGAAATAACAAGAACTTTTGGGTATATAGTTTAATTTTTTTAGATTGCTTTATTTTTAATAATTATTATTTAAAAAATTATGAAAATTATCCAAAAATATGTTCAGTTTAGATTAGAAGTATCCTTAAATTAACCTTCCTTAAAAATAAGGATTATAAATATTTATTAATTGTTTATGAAAATTATAGTCCAGATTCAACACCACCAAGTCTTTTATTTAGTGAATCAGCAACTCCACGACAAATTTCAACTATTTTAACAGATGGAATGATAAATAACCAATCAGATGAACTAAAAAAAATTAAAGTATTATAAGTTTTTAATAATTAATAGGATACAGCATATAACAATTTATAAAATAATAACAAAATTAAAATAGTTAAAATATTTCTTTTTTTCAATAATTTAGAGTTAAATTAGTTCTTATTATATTAATTATGTAAATAACTATTTAAGGCGGAGTTAGATGTGCATAAGACCTTGGTGTCATCTCTTGGTGAAAAATATAATGCACTGGCACTTAAACATTTACAGTACAAATCAAAAAGAAAAATGCAAATTGAAGCTTTAAAGTAAGTAATAAACAGTCCAGAATTATCTAATTTTCTTGTAAATATATTTATATTTTATGTTTAATAATTAACTTTTATTTGTCAGAGGTAATTTAGAAGCTAGTCAGTGTCAAATGGAGTCGCTTAAGACACAATTAAGCATACAAAAACGCAGATTAAAGACAGAAGAAGAATTTCGCAAACAAGTAGAAACAGATTATAGATTATTGCAAGATGAAAAACAAAATATTGATTTTCGGTAGAAATAAACTCCAATTTTATTTTTTATTATATCTAAAGTTATATATTTTGGTTTTTTAGAATTGCAATGTCAGAAAATGAGCTACGAAATATGACAAGACACCTTAGTGTATTGCACAAAAAAGTGGCTATGTTAGAGAGTGCTAATGCTGATTTATTGTCAAAATATTTACAACTTGTCTATAAAAATTCACATATACCAAAAAGCACTACATGTGATTGCATTTTAACAGCTACGTCCGATGATAAATAAAATTTACTGCTGGTCACATTTTCATTTTAATGTAATTCTTTAAATTTTCAAATTTTTTGTAAGAATTACAGAGGAGAAAATTCTTTTGACTATTTAAAACAATTTGACTTTCATTATAAATTTATTCAAATGTTATTTTATTACACACTTTAAAAAATATAATATTTAATTATAAATATATTATACACTTTAAATAATAATATGTTTGTTTTACTACACTTAAAATTTAAAAGCTTACATTACTTATTAATTGAGTGTTATTCATGTAATTAAGTCCTTCCATTAATATTGTGCCAAATAATAAAAATATTTTCAAAAATAAAATATTGATTTTTTTCAAACGTTAAGTTTGTTGTTATCTGTTGTTGCTTCTGCTACACTATACACCCCTTTGAGAAGTTTTCCTTGATTCTGTGATGGTTCTTTTGGTGGAAGATAAGGACCACGATCACCAGCATACACATAACTAAACGTGATAAAGTTAAGGTATTCTTTTTAATATATGTATAAATATTGTAATAATTTAAAAAAAAATCTTTAAATAACAAAATAGTACTTCTTTTACAATATTACTATGTTATAAATGTTGTAATATAAATAACAAATATTATAAAAACTTGGGTATTTAAAGGATACGGCAGTCGAAGTACCCAATAAGTACTCTGTGTAAGTTCAATAGGTGTATCAAATCCCGTTACAAATATTGGACCACCATTTTCATCAGGTTGCACCATGGGATTTAAAGTTATATGAACAGGTGCTTTAGGAGTTACAACGTGGATTCTCATTAACTGAGCCATTAAAGGAGCTGAGCTGTAAAATAAATAACATTTTATCTTCAAATCAAATTTTCATACAAGTTGAACAAAATATTTAATACAATATAAGTTGGAGTTAATATATGTATTACCTGCAAGGGCACGGGAAGTACAATGGCATATCTGAATTAGAGACCTTATTTCCATTTTCTTTTACGATACCACTACCTGCAGTAGTTAATATCTTGTCAGGTGCTGAACACATAAATCGATGTCCTCTTGGGCATTCATATTCAACTCCAATGAAAATTTTAACAGAAAATTCTATATCAACAATTGTGTTATTTAATTTTTTGATTTGTAATACTAAAATGATTTAACACAATTGCTTTATAATATCACCTCGAGAACCTTTAGTTTTCCGCCCTCGCTGAATAGGAGATGAATTAATTTTGTTTCTATCAGAATTCCAGTATCGATCTCTAGGATGATGTTCTAATCGAACAGTAACATCCCAAGGTAGAAGATAAGCTGTAGAATTTAAAAATCCAGGATGTTGTGTTTCTTGAAGTCCTATATTATGTGAATACAAACAAGACGAGCCTAGACATACTAAAGACCAAGATGGAAACTGAGGCAATAAACTATTAGGCGATTCGGTATGCAACATGCCTGGCAAGTATTCTGTCGTGCTTGGTTGTCGAACTAATGATTTTTCTGAAAAGATAAATGTATGATAAATATTAGTAGTCAATAAATCAATTAATAATTTATCAATATTACCTTTTGTGTCACCATCTGTATCAGTTACTCTAATAACAATCTGATTTCCTGAGATAGTGTCTTCATTCTTTTGCATATTTATCAACTCAACAGAAGTAAGACCCTGTCTATCAGGAAGTTCCCTATTTCGAGATGTTTCGCCCAAAATTTCATTTATTGGATCTACAGAATGACAACTGGCAAAAACTCCTATTCATAAAATGTATATTTCAGCACGTTAGGTATTATAATATTTTATATAAAATAATAAAACAGTTTAGGAATACTTTAAAAATAAAAAAAATAAAACGTTTATTTACCTCCTAAACTTAATACTTGAGTATGGCCCATTTGAGTTGGAGTGTGTAATAAACCGGCACTGTTTTTTCTACCAGCAATCACAGGAGGCTTTGCAAATAATTGTGCCGCTCTACACAAAATTTAATCAACATAGATAATGGTTAATGCACAAGTTTACTCAAAAATCTCACCTATAGTCTTGTGTACTAGGTTGGAATACTGGAAAATTAATTCTGTCTAAACAACCACAGACACAATCATTGGCCATAATTTGATAAAAATCATAGTTTGCTGTCCTAATTGTAAATGGGTCTTCACGAGTACCTTGCTTATGACCACAGTTGCATGCTGACAAGTACATGACACTACTTGAATGTTCCATAGTAGGTAGTTCATCCTTATTAATATAACTGTAAAACCAATAAAAATTTATTTTCAACTGATGAACAACTAAAATTATTCCCAATGAAATTTATAAACATGAAAAATTATAATTAGAAAACGTTTAACATCAAGTTTTTGCTATAAATTATTTAACTCTTAACATTTAGATGTATTAATATCATTGTTATGTGTTATGTTAATCGAGTGAAAATGTCTTTGTGCATTTTTTCATGTTATATTTTTAGCAAATATTATAATAGTAGATATCTTAATATAGTCTTTACGTTAATATCCTGAAATATTAAATGTTTACCAAAAACTATTAATAAGTATAAACAATACAAAGAAATTATCATGAATACAAAAAAAACATAACTATTTACTTCTTACAAGTTTAAAATAACATGTTATTCCACACCATGCAAATAATGTATATCTTTTTACTAATTAAAAAATATTAAGCCTAATTAATAAAAAAGCAGAATAAATAAAAATAATATTTTTGGATTACTGAAGTTTTAGGTTTATTATAACAATGAATTAAAATAGTTTTATCAAACAAATAATAAATTCAATAATTAACAAATATAACAATACATCGCTATGATATGAATGACACAGTTCTGAAATCTTTTATTTCTATAAATATTAAGTTTAGTACATTCAAATTATAGACTACTTTTATTGGTCATAAATTCATACATATTTGATTTTAATATTACTTCAAATTTATAGTTTATGAACAATATTTTATTTTTTTAAAAATCCATAATTATTTAAAAGTAATGTATAAATAATATAATCAAAAAAGAGAACAAAAAGTATAATGACATTTTGTATGGAGAACCTGAGTTATCAACATCAGTATATTATTATATAATATTGTATCTCACAAATGAAACCTTTTAAGATTGCAACCCTTTATACATTTAAAAAAAAATGTTGAATCAATAATAAAAATAATATTATGCAGCGTCTACAGTGCCGAGTTTTTTCTTTAAATAAAAAAAATTTTGATACATCAAAAAATTAAAATAATACATTTTTTTTTTCTAAGTATTACAAGGGCTTAGCATCTGATTTTTGTGTCCAAAAACATATTTTTATATGAGTAACACATAATAATTTTAAAAAAAGTTAATAATTGTATTATGATGAATAGTTAATGAAATAATATATTATGGTAATAAATAAAATACACTCAAGCATTATTTGTGTAACTTATCATTCTGTGTAAGATATAGATACATTCTTCATAAGAGATAAAATAAATGGAAACTGGGAATAATTGATAATTATATTATCAGCATAGAGGAAATAAACATTTACAATAGTCCTGTTCCAAATAAACATATACATTTTGTAGCATTTCAAACATTATGTATAAAGAAATTTAAGGAGTGTACAATGTTCTAGATATGAAAATATCAATAGTTATAGTGGGAACATTTTTGAACGTTAAAATATTAAGTCTTTTATCTACAAGAATAATGTAGTTTTGAATTTTCTAAATACTTCTCATGCAAATATAAATACTAAGTAATATTAAAGAATTAATTATATTATAGCAAGCATTGTTAACCATCTTGGTTTAAATAATAAAAACTACTTGTCATCTTGCTCTGGTTCCTTGATAGGTCCATCAACAGTACCCCCTTTGTGCAAAGGCTGTGTACATGGATTTCCAGTCAATGATAGAGTTTCACACATTTGACGACCTGATTGCCAAAATTTATCACAGTCTTGAACTAAAATTTGAATATAATCATCGAGTAAAGGCCCACGGGCATGTTGAGCAAACACTGAAAGTGCTTGAGCTACCTTTAATACAGAAAATAATACACATTTTACTTAAACCCCTTAATTGTCTCTTATAAAATCATACTTTAGTGTCGTGATAGTTTCTGTTATAATGTGATGGCAAGTTTTCCTGATAGGCTGCCATGGCAATAGGCTGAACTTTACGGCAGCGTCTCTCACTAAAATTGGTATCTATATCTAAAAATGATCTTAATGTTTCCATTGCAATTTTAGCTTCTTCATCAAGGTCATTTGCCAAGACAAATAAATTGTACATTTCATTTGCTACTAGGCACCAAGTACTAAAAGCTGGAGCCTAAAGCAACAAATTTTATATACAATAATAATTATTGAAAATTCAAATATTAAATAATATACAATCACTAACAATATAATAAGGTTAAATAATATTAGTAATTATTAATAGAAAAAAAAATTAAAATAGGCATTGAGAGTAGAACAAATAAATTATAATATTTTTAATGTTACTTATACAATATTTCTTTAGATTTTATAAAGTAATAAAAGTTATCAAGTAACAACATACAGATACCTTGGTATTATCCATAGTAATCTGACATATTTTTACTACACTCAACTATAATTTTATTTTTAGATTATCACTTTAAGAATTTAGTGTAATCGAATTTTCAATAACAAAAGTTAAAAACTTTTCGGAAATATCAATTACATCTACACACATAATTCAATAAAAATATAATGAAAATTTTAATCTGTACTTAATTTCTGTTTTAATATCTAGTCTTTTTGATAAACTGGCAGTATTATGATCTTGGATTACAAGACTACTGTATATGAATACAACTAATATAGTAATATGTCTTTTGTAATAAAAATAATTAATTAGTATATCAAATTGATGTAATTTACATAAAAATTAAATATTTTTTAATAGTGAGTATAGTTTAATTCAATAGAAAGATGTGAAGAATATAAAATAAGTATAATATTACATTGACTTCAAAAACTCAAAGAAAAATAATACACAAACATAACAGATAGAAAAATAAATGGATGATCAATATAGGTTTAGAATAAGGGAGCTATTCTTTGCCATAGCCTAATTGTGGAAAAAAATTTCAGAGTAAATAAATCCATTTATAAATATTTTATAGACCTGGGTAAAAAAAGCATTTTAAAATGTGAGCTAGAAAAAGCTTTTCTAGATAATGGAAAAGATAATCAAACTTTAAAGAAGGAAGAAGTCAATACAGACAACTATTATGGAAAGAAGTGAATAGAACATATCACAAGGAATAACATCTGGATAATATTTATTAATGAAGGAAGTTGAAGACCAAAGCAGTCATATATGAAGCAAATTATGCAAGATATATATATAGAATTAAAGAAAGTTGTTATAGATGGAAAATAATGGAAAAAATTACAACATTAAATCAACTAAAAATAAATAGTTCAGTTCTACAGATAATTTTAATAAGCATTTATTTAGTTTAATTAACTTATATGTTGATAAAAAAATAAATATTTTACTACCTCAAAATAATTTGGAATTGTAATAGCATTTCTACCGATATTATCATCAAATCCTTTTTTGAATGCTACATCAATGTGGTCAAATATAAATTTTTTTATATTATGACCTGAAACAAATTTTTAATATATAAATTTAATTTAATTGCATATTATATGTTAAAGATAGTTTAATTTTATTTTTACTAACTTTTATTTAAAAAGTCTTTCTCCACATTATCTTCTTCAAGTCCACAGTCAATGAAACGATCTTTAATTTCTATAAATAATTAATTTAATATTATCTACCTGTACAATAAAATATTTCATTTATGTAGTGAATACAAACCAACAGATGAACTATTGCACAAACTTATCAGTGAGTTAGTTAAAAATTCATCCCAGTCTAAAACTTGATCAGGTGAATCATCCATAAATACATATTCTTGATTAGCTGGGATAGCAAATAAAGAATGAGTGCTGCATTTTTAAAAAGAAATACATAAATGTACAACATATATATTTTATAAAATAAATTAACTATTTTAAATACCTTATATTTGAAATAATTCGTCTTTTTCTAAGTATACAATAAATTTGGTCTTCTAAAGAATATTCAGCTTTTTTTAAACCAGGATGGCATGGCCCATTTGATTGCCTTCAAAAAAATTTTAAAATTTATTATTTCTATACATTATTATAATAACTTAAAATACTTTTTTTTTTTAAATTCATCTGGACATGTTTCATAATAAAATAATAATCTTGGTGAACACAGTCTGGTATTCTCTATCCAAGTTGTAGATATATTAGGTATTTTTGACAATGTGGATTTTATTGCGTTAAGGAATTTCGATCTAAAATTTAAAAAAATATAAGGTATAGAATATTTAAAATAAATACAATGAAATGAAATAGAAAATAAAATTTAAAAAATAATTAACCGTGAACAATCAAGAGCTTTGAAATAACTCAAGTAGCTAGTGTCAAATACAGGAACAGGATTTGTTAGTACAAGAATGTGTGAAACATTTAACAAAAACAATAATGAACATGCATAGTTGTACTTCAGTGATGACCATACTCTCAAAAAACCCTAAAAATATAAAATAAATACTTAAAAAGTTATTATTTTTATAATAAAAATTAAATTTAAAAATTTTCTTACTTTTTCTTCAATTTCTGTCGATAATTCATCAATGTTTTGTGTGATTGAATGACTATCAAAAGAACCAATTAAGTGAAGATAAACAATCCCACCTGGCTCATCATAAAAACACTCAATTGATGACTAAAAATAAACCATATAATTATTATTATATATTATTGAAATAATAAACGAGTATGTTTTTGAATTTGAAGTATTTCTTACCAATATATAAAAGTATTAATAAGTTACCTGAAGTCTTGAATTTGAAGAGGCTTGTACTAAAGGTGAATTAAATATTGGACGATCATAAAACTCATTCACAAAGCGAGCTTTGCATGATTTAGAGGCTAATGAAGATTTCCCAAATATAGAAACAATAATAGTTGGTTTGGTATTGTCTTGGATAGAACTAAAATAAAAATAATCTATATTAATAAACAAGATATAAATTATAAATTAAACATAGAAATGTACCAATAACTGAATAGTTGTTTAACTATTTCAGACTAAATTTTTAATTTTATTACCATCTTTATGAATACATTTAATTATCAAAATTTAGTTAGAATAATAACAAAAATTATTAAAATTATTTAAAACATATAGTTAAAAATTCTTAAATCATATTTTTTAATACTATTAAAACCTCAGAATTAGTGTTTGTTAAAATTTCATACAAAAACACTATGTCAAAATTCAAATAATAATAAAATATTACAAAATTATATTGATTTAATACAAAATAATAAATATGTTAAAAATATAAAAAGGTAAGTATGATTCTGCATCATTATTAATTTTGTTTTGTTTAATTACAAATTATACTTATAATAATGTATGAATTGAAATTTAGTAATGGAAACAATATTTCAATAGACTAATAATTAATAGTTATAACTTATAAGTAATAATAAATTTAAAAGAATTATCTAGTGAAGCTGTTATAAATTTGTTTTAATATATTATATACATTATAAAATTTTTACCTGATAAAATTTTCATCAAAAGGCAAAGATATTTTCTTATATTTCATATTTTGTAATATTATTTTTTTAATTTTAATATTTTCACTAAAAAAAGTACCTACGGGCTACAGTCTACTTATTACTAACTGTTAAACTTCAATAACATATAATTACAAAACCAAAAATATATTTATAGTATACAGTTTGTAATCAATGATTTAAGACGGTTTCAAAATGTGTATTGAAATGAGAATTGTGATATCCGATACGTAAAAAGTACCTATATTAACTAAACTAAAAAGGCTTACTAAGTATTAAATATACTATAAAAATATACAGTTTTGTTATTATTGTCGCGTAGGTGAAGTAGTTTTTAGATTTTGAAATTTATTGAAAATTGAAATAGATTATATTATCTGTTTTGTATACAAACATGATAAGAATATAGATAACAACTATAGAGTAGATTAAATTAAATCTTTCATGATATGACTATAGGGCATAGAGCTTATGAAAATGACGAGTTATAGAGCAAGTTGTAGACACACTAATATTGGGGTGAATGTTTTCTTGATAAAAGTGATATTTTATGCTGATTTTTCAGTAATAATTTTGATTTTCCGTTGTTGTAACTCAGGTATCAATATTCATTGCTGGTAAAATAGACGGTGAAAATCACTGAAAACTATAGGCGTAACTAGGGGTGACTTGGGGGGGCTTAGTCCCCCCAACATAAATTTTAGCCCCCCCTGTCATAATTCCTAGTCCCACACTCCCACCAATAATAGTAACATTTTTAAACTTAAATTTAAAATATCGTTTTATTTTTTTTATTAATATCTTAGAAAAATATTAATTTAAACTATATTATTGTATATAGGTCCGGTGTAAGACGTATCATGTAACATGTGTAATTTTTACTACACAAATACTCCCTACTAAGAAGTTGTCAATAAACTAAAAAATCGTTAAATTCTTTATACCTAAAATAATACTTAATAATATGTTAATACATATATAAATATTTAACCTCAATACCACTTGGTTTATTATTTGTTTTATAATTAAATATTAATTTACATTCATATTACGTGTATAATCAATGAATGTAAGGTGTTTGGGGGGTATGGGGGGGCAGAGCCTCCCACTTAATTTACTTATAATAAAAATTCTAGGGCTGAAGCCCCCCCCCTAACTTTAAGGTCTAGTTACGCCTATGTTGAAAACGTTTCGAGTTTCGGTGCCATAATCCATTATATCTTAAGTTCAGGTTCACACAGCTTACCGACGAATTAATTGTAGTTTGTTGGTCCGCTAACAATACGTAAATCGTGGAATAGATTAAATAAATAGCCAATAGGTATCTATTTTGATTTCTGAGATATTACAATTTTAATTTTTAGATGTAAATTAGGTTTATCAGGTACACGGATAATATATTATCTGTGTATCAGGTAGATATCTATAAATCTAAAATCGTGAACGCAAATCATCTATCTATTTACACGATCAAATCGTTATCAATCGTGATATTAAATATATTTTATTTTATTTATTTAAATTGCAGCGCGCCCTTCAAACTTTCCGGCGTTTACTTAGTACTCAGTCACAACATATGAGATATATCAATGATTAAACAATAAAATATGACATACCTAATGGGTGTTTAATAAATTAAAATGTTGCTCGGCTATACACAAACTTGGATATTTAATTAAAATTAATACGATAATTTTATAACATTAGCAATAAGTCAAGGTATCTATGTTTAAATCGCATTTCAGTGTCTTGAAGCAAAAAAATTGTCTTATAATATATACATGAATAATGAATAGCGAATCTGAAGCTCATTTAAGGAGGGGGCGAATTGATATTACCAGAGGATTAGAGAAAATTAAAATTTAGCAAGCCAGAAAATAAGAAGCAAAAAAAAGTCATTCAAAATATGCATTTTAATTAGCATTTATTTTGTTCATAATGTAAATTATGTAGTACAGGCCAGATAAAAAAGGCTCACGGGCCACCAATTGCCCACCCCAGTACTATACAAAAAAAGCCCAAGAGTGATCGCCAACCCCCCTTAAATCCGCCACTGATGGAATATGAATCAGGCGAGTTGAGTAAATTTTATTACAGATTATAGTAGGTATGTTACTTGTATATTATTACAGTGAAACGTAGATTGTCCGCAGTTCCCCACTAATACTGTGGCTGAAACTTGAAAGGAGTTCGGATGAGCAATTTGGACAATCAATAAACAATGAATATACCTAATATATGAATTCAAGTGTTTGAACTCAACCTACCATGGTTTTAATAATTGCATAACCTGACATTAAGCATTTTTCTCCCAAAATGAAATTAAAACTACCTATTTGAACTTCATAGTTCATACTTTACATCAAAATATTTAAAATACGTTCGTAAATCATAATTTTTATTCTCATCGATAATTATTTTCCTTGCATATAAGTATAGGTATAACAAAAATTTTAATTTTGGAAAACTGTTCTGATTTACGTATATTTGTAACTAGATTAAAAAATGATATGGAAATCCAAAAACATAACCGTTTTATAAATCATACTGTAATATATAATAATAACAAAATGTAATAATGATAATATATTAATTACAATATTAATGTATTAAGGAAAAAAGGAAAAAAAATTATTGCACAACTTTGTCAGGTGTGGGGTTCGAACCCACGCTCCCGTTTGGGAACCAGAGCTTAAATCTGGCGCCTTAGACCGCTCGGCCAACCTGACTGTTGGATGGAAGTGAGAAATTTTCAATATCTAAGTACTATTATTTATTAAACCATATTTATTTTTTTATTCTTATTTATAATTATGTATACAGGTTTAATAGAATAACTAAAAAATAATTGTTATAATTATAAACATAATTAAATAAAAAAGAAAAAAAATAACTTATGTTTTAAAATTTAATAAAAAATCTTAAGAAATCTGATAGTAGATAAACATTATCAAAATATCAACTACCTATCATGTGAATTTATGATTATTATACCATTTTTTTTACATTATTGCTATCATCAGAGGAATAACTTTTCTGAAATTATTTAGCATTAAACTTTATTAATTAGTTTTGTGGTTTTATACTTAGTGAATGACTTATAATATTTTGTGAATAGTACCTAAACAAGACAAAGGTAAGTCGAATGTTTTTATTTTTATACTCGTTTACTTACATTTAATTAATGCCATGTAATAATCTAGCAAAAATAAAATGCTTGTTCTATTCATTATATTTTTGTATTATAATATTTAGAGGTTAATGATACTGAATAATCGATAGGCTGGAAATTTCTTGATTCACAGTTAAAAGTAATATCTGATATCAATAACATATAATATCTAATTCAGTAATTGGTAATAAATTCTACTTATTTCTTTTCATATATCAATGCATAAATATATCAACTCCAATTACTTAAAAACAAAATATTGTTTACATTTTAGTAATTTTACTGTTAAAGTATGTAGATATATTATTAGTTTCACTAGATATGTATAATAGTTATATATATTGTAATTAGAGAAGCAAAATATTTGGTAATAAGCTTCAATATAAAATACATTTTACTAAGTAATTTTATTTTTTTAACAAATTAATTTTAAATATAACTAAAAAATTTTAACATTAAGCTTTTATATTTTCAATAGGTACTCAAATAAAAATTTTGAAATTAAAAATATATGTAGTATAATATATACTAATATAGAAAATTAAATCGTAATTTTATTAAACTAAGAAATAAGAATATGATACATATATTTAGCTATGGTTCATGCTAACAAAATTGTCATTATACTAAAAAACAGTCATTTAAATATGTGCATTGTTTTCTTAAATACAATTTTTAACAGAAAAATAAACAATGGTCTGAATAACCAACTTGTTATCATGAATGTATATTATTAACACATATATAATTTTTTTAGATATCATAAAATGGAATCTAAATTAGCTCAAGGCTTAAAATTATTATACATACCAAAAAAAACAAAAATTAGTTCTGGTCTTGGTGATCGGCTTCCAGAGGCATATAAGAAGTTTTATAAAGAATGGCGTCATAAGGTTCCTCAACCAGTTTACTATAAAGCTAAACCAGGAAAATGGACAAAGGACGAGAAAACTGGAGCAATTATTCCTGTTCAGAATATACCAATTCCTTTAAAGTACCCAAAAACAATGCATTCTGGTATTTGGGGAGGAGAAGCTATAGTTCAAGGCTTCAAACAAAGTGGTAAATACAAGAGTCGTGTACCACATTTTTGGACACCAACATTAAAGAAATCAGTGGTATACAGTGAGATTTTAAATTCTTACATGTCAACAATAGTGACTGAAAAAGCCCTAGATCTTATAAATAAGAATTATGGCTTAGATCATTATCTACTGAAAACAGCTGCATGTGATTTAAGAACTACTTTAAGTTTAAAAATCAAACGTCATATCTTAATGGCTCTAAGAGACAAAACATTATATAAAGATGATAGTGTCAAACAACAAGAGGTGTATGACAAATATAAACATTATTTGAATGATTATACCCATGAAGAAATTGAATGGTATGGTTTAACATTCGATGAGGCTTTACTCAAAATGCAGGATATAGACGAGTTAAATGAAAAGAAAGCTCCATTGAAAACAAAATACAGACTGGAATTAATAGAGGAGTTGAAAAATAGTGATGAAACAGTAGAAGAGAATAAGAGTTGGATAAATAAACTTAATCCTTTTAGTTAGAAATGTTATATTACAATATAGTGGTTTATTAATGATTAAAAATAATATATAATACTAAAATAAAAATAAAATTTTGTTTATGAATTTTTTTTTATATACCTATTATAATTATATATTTAGAACAGATAAAAATTATAGTTAATACTCAAAATAAAGTTTAAAAAATAATTACAATACAATTAATGTAAAATATATGATTAACATAAAATTATTTGGTGCGGCCATAATTTACAGACAAAATAAACACATTAAATTAAGCTCCACACATAGTACATGCATCCTTGTTCTCTAATGAACATACTAATTGTTGCATATTTAGTGCATCATTCTTTTCAGTTTGAATTGCTACATTATTAGATAGTGCACTTTTATTAACTGTAAACTGAATAGGATCAGCAGCTGGTCTGGTACGCAAATAGTACATACCAGTTTTTAAGCCCTATTACAAAAAATAAATAAATTAAAATTAAAAATTACTAGAGTTGTTTAGTTGACTTACCTTTTTCCATCCATAGAAATGTACAGATGATATTTTACCAATAGATGGCTGTTCAATGTGAATATTTAAGGATTGAGATTGATCAATGTATGCTGCCCGATCTGCAGCCATATCTAATATGATTTTTTGAGATAGTTCCCAATTTGTTTTATATAACTCTTTAATGTGGTCTGGAATACTGTCTATTTTCTATATAAACATTTATTTCAAAATTATAATATAAACATCAATCACTGAATTGTTCTTAAAATAATTTTTTACCTGTACAGAACCTTTGTAGTAAATCAATTCATTTCTCATATCCTCATTCCATAGATTAAGCTTAATTAAATCGTTTAATAAATGACGATTAATCACCTAGAGTATTAAAATAAGTTAAAAGATATAATAATAATACATTAATATAATTTACTGACACTAAATTCTCCACTAAGAGTACGTCTATAGTATAAATTTGTTGTGTACGGTTCTATAGATTCATTATTGCCAAGAATTTGTGCTGTTGAAGCAGTAGGCATTGGCGCTAATAATAATGAATTTCTAACTCCATGTTTAGCAATTTTTTCTTTTAAAATATCCCAATCCCATAAATCAGTAGGTTTTACATTCCACATATCATATTGTAAAATCTAAAAACGTGAAAATTGATTAGCAACATGATACATTTAGTTTGTTTTTTTTTCAGTACTCCTTGACTAATTGGTGATCCTTGATAAGATGAATAAGTTCCATATTCTTCAGCTAATTCACAACTAGCTTCTAACGCACCATAATACAAAGTCTCAAATATCTGTAAATTTAGCTTTCGTGACTCAGGAGAGCCAAAGGGATAACGCATCAATAAAAATAAATCTGCTAAACCTTGTATACCAATACCAATAGGACGATGTTTTTTATTTGAATTTTCAGCCTATAATAAAAATATATATTAATACGCAGAATGATATAAAAATATATTTTCATCGGATAAATTCAATTACTTCTTTGACAGGATAAAAGTTGACATCTATTACTCTATTCAAATTTTTAGTGACAATTTTTGTAATTTTTAAGAGCTTTTTAAAATCATATTCTCCATCAGGTTTTACAAACATATTTACTGCAATAGAAGCTAAATTACATACTGCCACCTATAAATTATTATTTATAAAATATATCATAAAATAATTTATCCCAAGTATAATACTATTTAAAATATGATAAATGATTACCTCTTCTGGTGAAGTGTACTGAATGATTTCAGTGCAAAGATTACTACACTTAATTGTACCAAGATTTTTTTGATTGCTTTTGGCATTGCAAGCGTCTTTATACAGTACATATGGCATACCAGTTTCAATTTGGGAAGTTATTATTCGGAACCATAATTCCCTTGCTGATACTTGTCTGTTGTAACGTTTTTCATCCTCATACCTATGACAGCAGGAGATAATTGTTTTATTACATGTATTTAGTAGTTATAACTATAATTTTGTTATAAAAATGTGTATAAGTAAATTTATATAGTATAATAATAATAATAATAAACTATCAGTTTTATTTTTTGGTAATTTTAACTACAAACTATATAGTATTTACTAATGTATACTTGATTTTTTGCATATTGTAATAAATAATCACTAGCAGTAAATTTTATTAATAACACATACTAAAAACATACTTTTTGTAAAGTTTCACAAAATCATCACCCCAGACATCTGAGAGACCTGGACATTTACGTGGGCACATTAAGCTCCAAGATTGATCAGCTTCAACGCGTCTCATAAATTCATCAGGTATCCAAAGAGCCAAAAATAAATCTCTAGTTTTTTCTTCTTTATTACCAGTATTTTTACGTAACTCAGTATAAGTATATATATCAGCATGCCAAGGTTCAATGTAAACAGCAACTGCCCCAGGTCTCTGATAAAACCAAATACAATACAGTAACAGATTTAAATGTAGAATAAAATAAACTAACCTTTCCACCTTGGTCAACATATTGAGCCAAATCATTAAGGACTTTTAATGGTTCTACAAGACCATGTGATTCATGTTTTGGATATTTGGTCCATGTTGTACCAGCTGCACTAATATTATGTAAGTGTATACCTATACCTCCAGAAGATTGAGAAATTTTGGCACATGTCTTAACTGTCTTACCAAAGTCTTCTAATGAATCAGATTTATTAGCAACCAAAAAACAACTAAACCAACATTAAGAACATTTTTAATTTAAATAAAAGATTACCTATAATATTAATTAAATATAATCAATATTATTTATTATCTTACCTTGAAAGTTGAGGTCTAGGTGTAGCAGCATTAAACATTGTTGGTGAAGCATGAGTGAAATACTTTGATGACAATAAGTCATATGTTTCAATAGCTGCATCAATATCTTCACCATGAATTCCAATTGAAACTCTCATCAATAAATGTTGAGGACGTTCAACAACTTTACCATTTATTTTTAATAAATATGACTTTTCAAGTGTCTAAAATGTAGTATAAAAATAAAAATGTTACATTTACACAAAACAATTTTTATCTAATATAAGATCAACTTAGTAGTTCATAACATACCTTAAATCCAAAATAACTGTAAGTATAATCTCTATCATGTTTAATAGCATTATTTAAACGGTCCGCATGTTTCATGACAACACCATAATGAAAATCAGAAATAATTTTCATGCGTCTTTGATTTAGTTCATTTGACATGTTATACAAATCATAAATTACATCTGTAATAGTATAATAATTTATCATACATGTAATATTGTAATCTACTTTATTATTTAATAGAATCAATAATTTACCGCTGAAATTGTTTTTAGTTTCTTTATAAAGATTAGATATTGCAATACGAGCAGCAAGTACAGCAAAATCAGGATGTTTTGTAGTTAAGTAAGCAGCTGTTTCGGCAGCTAAATTATCAATTTGTACAGTACTTATACCTGGGCATATATCGCCGATGACATGTAATGTAATTTCAGGCTAAAAGTGAGAAAAATGTATTTAATCAAACATTAACTTTTTAGTTATATAATTATAAGCAACTATAAAAAGTTATAAAAGTAAAAATTTGAATATAAAGATAAAAGAAAAAAATTGAAAAATAGTAAATAGTAGTACTTATTATCTAATATTGGATAATTTTTTAATTGAACTAAAAACTTTTTTTGATTAGAATATTGAATCAATTATCAAACAATTGTCATGCTTTGTTAATCTAAGAGCAGGATAGTATAAAAAAATTTAAAAAAATAATAATAATAATAATTTAAAAATGTATAAATATTTATATTTTTATTCTATTTATTTAATTGCAATAAATTTACCATTTTAATAAATTACAATAATGATAAATAATATAAGTAACATATTTTAATAAAATTACAAAAAATATTAATTCAACTCGGGAACAATACATTTATAATTTGATATTACTTTCCTTAGTTTTTTACACTGTTTTCATTAAATTTGTTTTGTTTTAATAGGAGGTTAGATTATACTTTTATCACATGTACTTTTTGTGAATATTTAAAAAAAAAACAATGAATTCCTCTATACTCTCATTCTTTTATTGACCCTTAATAAACATTCAATAACTTCAATTATAGGTTTGAAAGAACCTCAAAAATGTTTAATCTAATTAAATATGATTCTTAAAGAAACTTTAAAAATAATAATATAAAATATCATATAACCGGATCAATAAAGTCCATATTGAGTCCATCGCATAACTGTTCAATTCGCATTGTGATCTTGTCCATCATTACTTCTTCCAATCGGCCATCTAAACAAATTTAAAAAAATATATATTTAACATTTTATTATTAGGTATTTCATGTTAGAAAGGACTTAAGTCATATAAAATGTACCATGTACAAAAAATAATAATTTACTGTTGGTATATTGTTCAACAGATATTTAAGAGAGCCTAATTCATATATTCAAGGGACATTATTATGTTATAGTTATGCCCATATCAACCTGCTTTTAACACATGACATAATTCAGGTATATTACTTACCACGCTTTTTCACAAACAGTTTATCACTAGATTTTCCAACGTCGTTCGACATAATTATGGAGGTTTGTAAACACAGGTATGGACTTGATTAAAAATCGTCAACGGCTGGTCAGGGAATTGTGCTGTAACCAAACAAGAAAAGACGTAAATAATAATAAATAAATTAGCAGTATGTGTATTTATCAACACAAAATCAATTATAATAACGAAGAATTATAAAAGTACGCGGCTCTGGTGGAGTTTGTTTTCGGTTTGCGCTTTTTAAAAACGTTTCCATCAGCCACAATTAAAGTATGTAGGTATTATATGTAGTTAATTAATAAAGCTGTATACCTGTAATTATTATACGATCCAATGAAGACAAGATGTCAAACCACTGGCAACAAGAATAGTCATCAACGACGCACACCGAAGAAGTAAGAATACAGAATGGTACCGCCAAGAAAATAATGTATTGATATTAAATGCATTGTAAACACGCAAGGTTTCCCGCGCTTTTTCCCACCATATAGAATAATCTCCCAAAAAATAGGAAATGATATCGGTCTAGAAAAGCTGCAAGTCTACCAACCTTATAAAACAATCCCATTTTAATTTTATTTCCCAACTTAAATAATATATTGCATAATTAGTAATTACATTATTTTTTGTAAGCTATTAGTATTACTTAATGTTTTAAATTTAAATAGTAGATTGTAAATATATTTTAATAAAAAGAAAAAGAAAAATAATTACATTTATTAGCTAATAGTTTTAATTCTTATTAGAGGATCGAACTGACTCCAGGCTAATCCCATCCTATGGTCTCTTTTTTAAATATCAACATTTTTAACAAATTTCAAATGTCCAGTAATCATATTTTACATTACACTTTTTTAATAATTTCACTTTAAAAATATTATAAGATTGATTATAAATTATTAGTTTTCATAATCAATAGAAGTAAGTAGTTAGGCAAACGGTATTTCCGCACCCCACCATTCATATTTAAAAATATTTTTTTATTTATATTCAGTTATTTATTGTTAATTACACATATCAATTATAGTTTTACAAACATAAACAATGTATGTACTGATAAAAAAATGGAAACAATTTTATTTTCATTATTATAAAATTAAAAATATATCAAACTACCTAGTTAAAAAAAAAATTCGAAATTTTTAGTTTGGAATAACCGATTTTAATATACTCCTCAGTTACTAATATCCTGATTACATGGTTTTATATCCACAATTTAGGTACTGAGAACATTTGGTTAAAAAAAGCAACAAGTTCGTTAAAAATTGTTACATTTTTTTTAGTTCAACAATCTATCAACTTTTAGATCTAAATAAAACACACAGATATAGATAACTTTACAAAGGTACCTAGTAATTAGTAGATTTTTGTTCTTAAATATAAAAGACCAACTTACAAAACGTATGGCAAAAATTACACAAACATGTAAAAGTCAGTGTGAAAAGTGTATTAAATAAATAATTAAACTTAAATCACACATCTCAATGTAAACAATTTGAACTCAGTTGAGACCATTACAGCATTACCATTGGCCATAACTATGAGTCTCTATGACCACCCACCATTTTTCATGAGAAGACTATATAATATAAGGTCTGTCATAAGAGCACATTAGATGGTTTGTAAATTGGTTTAGTAACAATAAGGTTTGGAATATCAAAGTTACTTAGAGATATGTCAACAAGTCTTAACACCACTCGTTGCTTAAAATATTACTATTATTTAAAAAATGTTATCAAAGAATACATATTTGAGGGTTGGACAGTAACTAAAATATAAAAATTAAAAACGTATTAACTATTGAACATAAAGTTATGATATTGAACTTTGGTCCTCAAATACAGTTAGGTATAAGAATTTTAATTTGTGAAAAAAACTAAGTTGAACTCTCATGATACCTTATACAGTAATGCTTATATGGATAACTAAAGTAAGAAATTATATGATTTGTCTTTAAGTAGAAATATTTAATTTTAACACAAAATAATGTAACGAGTTCAAAAATGTCACATAAGTATATTAATATAAATATAATATATTTTAATTAATAACTATTTAGTTATTTTTGTTTTCTCAACTTAATTGTAAGTAATTTTCAAAAATAAAAAACATACAAAATTTTTAAATATTTATTTTAATTTATTTTTTTTTGTAGAAAATCATCAATATATTTTTATAATCATTTTAAATAGTTAATCATCACCATCTTGTTTGATCATTCGTTCAGTTATATGAAATTTTTTGACATAATACTGGAAAATTAAAATTTAACATTTATTGGAAGTATTAAAACAAAAGTATTATTTTTGATATTTGTATAGGTAAAAAACAATAAGTTAAAAATAAAACAGTTATTACCTGCCATAGTTCATAGTTCATTGTGAATAAAGAAGATATATTATCATCAGTTTTGGGTTTATCATTTGTATTTCTTTTTTTGGCTAATGTTATAGTTGAAAATTCATAATTTTCACCATCTGTATGAAAAAAATATCAATATATATTATATATTATACAAACATTAAAAATATTAGAAGAAAAATAGACTTAAAAGTGAACTGACATTGTCCTATATAATAAGTTATTTTTAAATAATCATAGTAACCTGAAATTCTTTTTATTTCGACAAAATGATCTTTTACTAATGTAGCCAAATGAAATAAATTTTCTATTGTAAATGTCAAGCTAAATGGATCAATAGCAAATGCATAGAATGATATTGGATTCCCTTGATTATTTATTAAAGCTTTTTTCAAACAGTGTTTAACTTTTGATAAAGTTATTTGTAATTCGTTGTCACCAGTATCACTACCTACCTAAATAACAATAAAACAAATAAATGTAATTAATAGAGTAAAACCAATATTATTTTTTAATAACATTCTTAATACTTCAACGGGAACCACTTGATCTTCTAAAGGTCTTTTTTGAGATTTTCTGTATTCTTTCCTTGATTGTGTTATTACTTGGGTTTCAGCAGATTCTTCCGATTTAATATTCCCGTAGAAATTTAAATTAAAACAATTTATATTTTTAAAAGCACCGTTGAATATAGTGTCTATGTGGCTTAAAGGATCTTCTTTATCATCACATGCTTCAATCTAAAATTTAAAATAGTAGAAAAATATTAGTGTTCATTTTTAAATGATTGGTCAATTACATAATGTAATAAAATTAACATACTATTTTAATAACATATGTATCTATATCAAACATATTATCCATTTCACTGCATTGCTTTTCTATTAGCCAGCTACATATACGATAAGATTCTTGTACCATTTTCAAAGATAAGGTTTTGTACAACACATAACTGGACTCTGAAAATTATTTTAAAACCAATAAAAATATTATGAATTAAATACTTTAAACACTTACTCATTTTTTCTGAAGTCACTTGCTGCTCAAGTTCTGTCAAGTATTTCATTTCTATCTTCATGAGAGATAAATCATTTGCACATAATGTCTTGTTGACAACTAAAAATTTATAATTATTTTATATGATACAAATGAACCCAGATAACCATAAGATATAAGCACAGAATACATACTTTTGTTGTTGCATTCTTCGATAAAATCTTGAACCTTTTTCAGTTGGGTTTTAAATAATTGAAATTCCTCCTCAGAACTCGATTCGTTCACAGATGAAGAAAAACTCGACATACTGGCTGTTTTGTTGTGTAAGCGGTGATCAATGTAGACAAAATTACTAAACAATTCAATAAAATTGTATTGTAGAATAATTTTCAAATGTTTATTATAATTGTGATAGACCAACAAATACTGGTGAATAAAAAATAAGTGAAGGGTGACATTTAATAGTGTTTTATTAATAATTAAATTTTAAATAATATTAAATTAGTACCTAGTATGTAATATAAAATTACATAAATTGATCAGTTATTGTGACGGAATTATGATTAATGGAAGTTTGAGATACGAAAGTCAACGGATAAATTAGTTTAAGAGACAATATTAAACATAGTGGACAGTGGCCATAACTATGCCACTCCAGTTTTTAAAATCATAGACAAAGAGTTAAGAGATGATATTCACATTTCAAAATTTAGTTTTCTTCAATAATTCTTCAATAATTGTCTTGTCGTGAGATATCATAATCAAAAATAAACTTCCATGTAATCCGTGAACCTCGCGATTAGGTTACACAATACACGGTCATTATGCACGCTGGTACGCTACACTACACAGAAACTTGAGCGGGAAACGATTTCACTATAGAGGCTGGTAAAGTTTTCCCGGTTTTAATAACAGCGAGATATCAACAAATCAAATTTCGGAAAATCAGTAATACCAATCTTGAAGCAATAATTTTCCCGCACTATAATAATAATAAAAAAGTTTTTTATGCATCCGTCTCAACACTATATTATCAACTTAAAATCATTTGAATTATTTGAAATATAATTCAATAATTTACTTCACTAGCGCTATTTATCGGTCGTTTACTCGTATATTTATTGTTTCTTAGTGCCCGACCCCCATATCACGATCACAACATAAATTTTTATCCATAGAGATAGACCTTAGTCTAATTAGTCTATAATTCTATACGATTAAATATATAGGAGGTAAAATTTGTGAGGTTGTAGGAGATAATCTCTAGATCTACTGAACTGATGTTGAAAATTATTTTACCGATAGAAAACCACATTATTTGTGGTTGTCATAGGCATCAATGTAGTCTGATCAAGTTAGTAAATAATTAGTTATTAATAATTATAATCAACGTGTAAATTGTATACCTACATGCAGTGCGACGGCCCGCGGGTTTCCAGGCTTTTAGCTACTAACAATCTAACTTATTTGTCCATCAAATTATGTGTTTGATATCTACATGTAGATATCAGTTGTTTTGAGAAATTTATCCATAAAAATAAATAATCTCATGCATCACACGTATCTCAACGTCATGCACATGATAGGGCACTGAAGCGTTCGATTTTAAATAGATTTTCCCTGTCATAATTAAGATAAAAATTCTTATAAAGTATTCTTAGTTCAAACTGTTAAAAGACAACATGTCATTTGGAATTTATTATTTAGTATTTAGTAAGCGCCAAACATGAAACAGTGGAGTGGTGAACAATGTACTTTTGCAATAAAACCGTTTTACAAAAATAATGACAGATCTAAGTAGCTGCAAAGCGTTAATTTCGTCTTCATTTTAATCTTAAACGCCATGATTCGGTATCATTGGCTAAGGTTATTAATATATGGATAACTAACTTTGAAGAAACGGATTCAGCATTAAAAAAGAAGCCTACACAAAAAAAAGCCATTCGCACACCTGTAAACATCGCTGCGTCAGGGCCGCTATCACAAAGAGTCCAAGAGCCGGACATTCTGCACTAAAACATGCGTTATCGTTAAATTGTTAAATTTATTCAGTAGAAGTCTATGTCAGATTTTACACAGTGAACTAAACTTTCACTCATATAAGGTGCAGGTGGTTCAAGAATTGAAACCTGCAAATCTCTATAGCCGCACAACTTTATGTCGAGAAATAGGTACTAACCTGGGTGGACGAGAACAATAACTTTAATCTTAATATTTTGATGTCTGATGAAGCACATTTCCATTTTTATGGTCTTGTGAATAAGTAAAATTGTCGTTATTGGTCTGAATAAAATCCTCGCCGACTTCATTAACGATCCTTACACAGATCGAGTAACTATATGGTGTGCAATTTCACACTATGGCATCATTGGCCCTATTATTTTCACAAGGATGAAAATGAACGGCAAAAACTATAATTCAAATTGTTATGTCAATATAATCAATAATTTTTTGATCAGTGAACTAATAGTTTCCTCAAAATGATAACTTTTGGTTCCAAAAAGATGATACATCTCATACGGCTCGAATATCAATAAATGCTGTTATTCAACAAATTTTTGGAAATCGCATTATTTCCAAAAATGGCGATGTACATAAACCACATTGATCACCTGATTTATCAGTATATTGTGATTTCTTTTTTGGGGGGTATTAAAAAGTTAAGTCTATGCAAAAAAACTTTAAAATATTGGTTAACTAAAAAACTAATCAAAGAATAAATCACCAGTAAGCCTTTATAAGTAATACACCGTGTAATGGAAAATATACGAAGAAGGCTAAAAAATATGATCATTGTCTTGAGAACATAATAAAAAAAAAAAAAAAATAGCAAGTTATAGGTACACTTCATTATAAGAAACAATAATTAATTTTTATTCGGTTTTTTTACTTTATAATTTATCTTTGAAAATCGGCCGTTTTACTTACCCCATGGTATTAATATACGTATTATATTATTAGAAAAAAAAAATAATCTTAAAAGTTGACTCAATGAGACAAGTAGACTTAGATAAAATAACACTACGTAATAATAAGTGACTTTGTGACTTATTAAATACTTCTAATTATTATGAACTCAATGAAAGTAATGGTAATGAAACAAATATTTGCCTACACTTCAATGAACACACAATGTGTATAGGTAAATATCAACAACCTTTAACACTTCAGTGAAGTACACATTTTGCCTAAACAATTAATTTATACTTACACGCGCCTCAAAATGGAAATATGTACATTAATTTATTGTAAAATAATATATTACTCGTATTTTAAATATTTATATTTTATGTACACAATGTTTTTATCAATATTTTTATCGATGTATATAGCCTACATAATTGGTATTAAATATTTTACAGTTACATAATTATAATTATTTAATGTTAACTTCATCATAAATTTGGTCGACATCAAGATTCAAGACTAAATGTTAAATTCATTAAAACATATGAACTTAAGAGTCGTAATATAGTAATTATATACAAACTCCATTTTTGAAAAAACTACTCTTTTCTAGATGTTTACAGAAAAAAGGATTAATAATTCAACAATACCGTATCTGTTGCAATTACAATACGTATACCATATTATAAATTAAATAGAAATTATTCATATATTTGAGATTTTTTATATTTTCAAATATTTATTATACATAATTCATAAATATCTCAATACTGAAATTGTGTAAATTATTAAATTAAACTATTCATTATCACTGTAACAATACCATGTAAAGATACCTTTCAAAATTTTAAAAATAAAACAATTTAAGTATAATATATACTACAAAAATTAGTAAGAAAATACGATAATTAATGTTATGAAAGTATTAAGATTTACAAACAAATAAATTCAAATGACGGATGTCTCAATAGTTTTTAATAATTAACATTTACTGTAAATTTCTTTTATTCTTATTTTGGTAAAATGTGTGGTAAGATATTTATTTTCATTAAGAAACATTAGCAATTTAATATAAAGTTCTTCATAATTTGTTCTTATATTGTAATCTGAAAATATTAAAATCGATTAGCACAATTTTTATTACACGTACAATATATATTGGCAAAACTGGATATTTTAACAAAAACTACCGATTATAATTATCTACTTTGTTGTAAGTTATTCCAATAATATTAATTGAAAACACCATTTCGTGTATTATTATTTATCATCAACAGAGAAATATTTAAAATGTTATGTAGATTATTTTTATGCTATTTATGCCACAAACGTATTAACGCAGATCGGTGACATCAACTTACAAGTCTATAACAGTTAGTAAAAATACACGAATTAATATTTAAATAAAACTGCTTATAAATATATGCGATTTTGTTTTGTTTTGGAATGATATATTTTTTACTTATTAGTTATTAGTTATTGTTTAAAATCAACTTATTTACTTTCAAAAATTGAAAACGTCTTTAAATAGCTTAAAAGTAGACAAAATATTTTGAAAATATCTTATGTATAGAAAATGCTGATATTAATTATGTCTTACATTGCAAATATACAATCCTCGTTCCGATCAAAATATGAAATGTAATTGTTAAAAAAATGTCTAAATTTGACTTTAAATCAAAATTGCATACTTCAATAATAAAATGCTCATTATTACAATATAAATTTGAAGAACTTGATATTGAAATGAAGTAGAAAAGAAGTGAAACAATAAGTACACATCATAGATAGTTATATTTATCATTAAACAAAAAATAATATTACATTTTAATTTTACTATACATTTACAACTGTAATAAAGTAAACAAATGAACCTAAAATCTATTGATATAAATACTATGTAGTATATACACATAAATTATATATATATATGCTTATTAAATTACAATCATATTGATTTATATTGCATCAAAAAATACATCAAATCAGTTCTTTTCCATTTCTCTACTTTTAGGTAAAAAAAAAAAATATATATATAATATAATATAATAATAGTATATATATATTATATATTATTATAACATATTTAAATAACATTATGGTTTTTAATTAACATACATACGATAATGTATTCAATCATAATATTTACAGTTACAATTTAATGAAAACAAATTATATTCAAACCGACTATAATAATCATGTGTGTCTACAATATTTTTGTTCTAAGTATAAAACTACTTAAATGAGGAATTTAATAAAAACTGTTAAAACATAAAACAAATAAAAAAAGTTATGTAATTTTTTTGTGATTTTTTTGCGAAGAAATCGATAAAAACGTTCCACCTAAGAAGATCACTTCGGCCTGCATATTGATGTGGGTACACAATGCTTAAGTACGTAAAATATTATTATTGTCTGTCCTTTGCGTTGCTGTCTGACTCATCGACGAGGCTTTCCAGATCTACGTAGCTGCCCTCGAATTCTGGATTTTCCAGTAGCGCACCTAGCTCTTGTTTCAGCTCAGCGAACGTGGGTCGCTTTGATGGGTCGGCCGCCCAACACTTGGTAATCACCCTGAATAATTCGGATCGACAATGTGCCGGTTTGTCAAGTCTGTAGCCTTCGCGCACGCGTCTCATTACTTCACGTGCACCCATCGTGCAGTAAGGAGTTGAACCTAAAGGGCGTAAAAGATGTAAAAATATGTAGGTATATTTTATTGATGATATTATATTATGTAAATAAAATGGCTAAGGGTATGACAATATATGAAACATATTATTGTATACGACATAAAATATGATATCAATGATATCAATATTAATAAAAGTTTTACGTCGCAAATACTTTCCAAAAGCGATGGTGGTGTTGAGAAACACGAAGTAGGAAAATAGACATTTTCCGAAAAAAAAAAAAAACAGGAAAACAGAATACTGTATGAGCAAACATTATTTTTATATTGAGTATTTTTGTAAAAATCAAAAGCAGAAAGTCTAGTGTCTTGTCCGTTAGGTATGAATATAACTCGGCTCATCAAATTAATTAGAAAAAGTTACAAACATATTTTATATTGATTTTTAAGAGTACCTAGGTCAAATTAAAAAAAAATAAAATAATTTTCTCAAAGTCAATTAAACATACCAATTTTTATTAGATCTAATCACGCTTCCTTGAAATCAATATAAAAAGATTGTTTTGCAAATATAAATGTTATATAACCGATTTATATAATTATTATCTTACCCAAAAATCATTATGTAAAATCAATGTTATATTTAATAAATTTAAACATTTAACTAGTATCAGAAATTTTATCTATAATTATTAATAACAATAAAACCCAAGACATTCACACGGCAACGGTATTGATGGTAGTATGTATTAATGTATTATTGATATCGACATTGGTAGTACTATACTGCTATTAATTCTTACTGAAACTAATTTTAATTTATTGAAATCTTTTCTTTTTTTTAAAAAAAAAATAATTATCATGGATTAATTAAAAAATATCATTGTCAGTAAATTCAAAAATTTTACTTTTACTCACCTAGAGTGACGATTTCCCACATCAGTACACCAAAACTCCATACATCAGTCTTGTATGTGAATATACTATAGTGCAACGATTCCGGAGCCATCCAACGGATAGGCAAAGCACCCTGCAAATGAAAATATTAATATAAACAATAGTTTTGTACAAAATAGTTATAACACTTATAACATTATTCCTAGTAGATTTTGGGGTCGTACCTTTGTATGCCTTTGCTCGTAAATTTGGTTAGTATCGCGGACATTGCGAGACATTCCGAAATCAGCTATTTTGCATAATTTATTATGGTCAACCAAGACATTTCTTGCGGCCAAGTCCCTGTGTACTATCTATTATAACAATAATCATTGATTAATAATCTTATTTAATATAATTAAGTAAGATTATTAATAGAAGTATTAACAAAATTAAATTTATTTAATAAAATGTATGTTTTATGATTAAGCACACCAAGAAATAAGATAATTAATTTGCTTTAAATAATTTGTCACTAGAATTACTTTGAAATATTTTAAATCGTCAAAGTTAATCTTTAGCCATAAATTAAATATTTAAATGTCATAGTTTTTTTTTTTTTAAAAGAAAGTGTAAATTCTACATTATACGCGTTTCTTATTACAACAAATAACAAATTGATTAAGGTTCACACTGATTAATTACGTGCTTTGTTTTGATAGGTGTAAACTTTCGTTTGTAAATTGTAAAATAACATATTTCGTACTTTTTTTGAGACCAGAAAATCCATTCCTCGTGCTACACAATAGGCGAACATTGTTAAATCTCTAGACGTGAGCGAAGCAGTAGAGTCACTAAAATTAAAATAATGGGATCGTGTCCGTCGATCTCTGAGGAACGCCAACAGTTTACCGTACATAACGTACTCCATGATCAGTAAATACGGTTCTGCAACAAACACGATACGATAATGGTATATCATGGTTTTCACTTGTAATAACACGCAATAGAGAAAAATGCGTAACGTATTCATAAGATTATACTTTATATATTATTTACCTTTCTCCGTACAGCATCCCAGCAACGTGACGACGTTCGGATGCGACCCGAGATGTTGCATAATACTCAGCTCTCTGATCAGATCTTCTCTCTCCCGGGACGCTGCGTCCTCCTTGACCATTTTCACGGCGACAAGCCTGGTTAGACCCTCGTGTCCGCTAATGTCGTCCGCCTCAGCCTTCCACACTTGACCAAAATTACCTTGACCCAATATAGTCTGGAGCCGCAACTTTTCCCGGGGAAACTCCCAACGGCTGTTGCTCATGGGTGCCGGGACGGTGGGCGTCTTCTCCGTGTCCCACACAATGTGCTGCGGCACCCTGGGAAGTTTTGTAGTGATCGGTGACGAAGTAATTGTGTTGAAGTCTAGCGGGCTGCGGTTGTACTCAGACGAATATTCCGAACTGTCAAACACTTTCTTCTTTTTTCGCCGCATAGCCAACTTAAACGCGAAAAAAATTACCAGAACCAATGGCACGATGGCTAAAAACGTTAAAAAGTACACGGAAGTGGCTAATCCATCTGGATATACCACGCCAACGTCATGTTCAGCTGACGGTCTGGTAACGTTACTGCGTTGTAGCAGCGGCCTTCTCTGACGAGCTTCGACGGCTGTGTCCACTATGTTGGAAGTGGTGGAGGCGATTGTGGCAGCAACGTCTGTAGCGATATCGTAGACAGGCGCTTCCGACGTGCCGTTGTTCAAGTAGATGAAGTCTTGTAAGTCGGTGGGCGGTGGCTGAGAGGTATCAGTGGAAGACCGGTCGCCGGTAGTGGATGCGTCCAACGTTTCAGTGGTACCAACAACCGGACGATCTGAAGACGACGGACCAGAAGCCGTCGTAAACGTAGAAGTGATCGTTGTTGAGGCGGTGGTGGTGGAGGCAGTGGAAGACGCTACAGACGCGATTCCGGCCAAAGTCGTGGCGTTCAATCGTCTCTGGTTGATTTTGGTGATCTCCAAATATTCAGGCAACGATATGTTTCGGTACCGGTTCCGAAGATATTTCGGGTACGCCGACACCGCGACCGCGGGTTCCGATCTCACCGTAGATGTCAGCGGTCCGGGATTATACGCATCGGTGGCGTCGCCGTCACTGTTGGCGCCTGGGCGATGATTCTCAATGGGATGTTGACCAAGCTCGGCGGTAGACTCGTTTCTCTTCTGTGGGCTCTCTCTGACTGACACAGACGTGACAACAGTTGACAATATCCTCGTGGTCCTTCCATCCGATTCTGGCAAGCATCGCACGTCCCTCCGAGCTCGCGATTTGTTGTTCCGTCTGGTAAACCTAGGGTACAGGCACTCCACTGGCATCGCCGCCGCAGATGAATTCTCTGCGGGTCGTCTGGTCGTTACCACAGTACTGTGGTTGCGGTTATACGATGGTGGTAACGCTCTGGTTCGAGGCGTGGCGTCTTGCACTTGCTGAACGACCACTGGCAACCTAAGTGATGTCCTAGTTTCCGAGTCTGACGGTGCATCGAGCTCGTCTACCGTGGATTGTGGGGACGGTGACTGCGGCGGGTGTCTGATCTTTTTTCCGAAATCATAGTACGGGTCTTCTAGCAAGGTCGACACTGCCGCCGTCCGAAGTGTCCTGGCTGTACTCGATGACGGTACCAACAAACGCCTACGAGTCTTGATCCGGTCCGGTCTCTTGGACGTGGCATTTCGCACTTCCGATCCTTGAGCCTCAGGTTCATCCCACGTCTGTTTATGTTTGATCTTCTTTTTAACCCGGGGCATCGACGTCTCGTCAACATCTTGCAGCGTGTCCAGCGAAACCGATCCGGATCCTCCTCGGTGAAGTGACGGCATCGACGTTCTCCTGAGATGGCCGATTACCGGCCTGGTGGTTGCGTTGCGCTGCCGTCGGTAGTCGGTCGTGGATCGCGCGTCGTCAGCCGGCATACTGGTAGGAATCACCACCATCAAATCATCTGAAAAACCAATCAAATATTTGAGAAAACAGTTTTTTACTTGCTAGAAAAATACATTAAATCATAATAATTAATATATTCATCTATAGAATGCGATCGTTTAAAGATTATCGATTGGTTAAGATATTCGTCGTAAATCATAATATTATAACTGTTATGATCTATTGATAAACATAATAATATAGATATTATAAAGTGTTTTTTATTTTCGTTAATTCAATTATAAAAATTAATGAAAATTACAGTTTTGTTGGAAAATCGGAAATATTAAGTGACTCAATAATATAAAAGAGACATTAGAACACATTTTAAAACTAATAGCTGTTTTAAATGAATTTTTTCAATAAATGACAATACTAAAACGTATACATTACAATATGTACATGTGCCCTATTCTTTGGTTTTCTATGAACTTATAACTTATATATTTTGTAATAGTGTGTTTAATAAAAATAACTCTGATGTTTAAATGTAAAAATAATTAAACACCGATACGCGTGAGAAAAAAACTAATGAATTATAAATAGTTAAATTAGTTATAGACTATAACTAGCGATATGCAGATAGCTAGACGGCCGGAGCGCTGTATTTTATATAATTGTATGGGCTGTATGGCCCTGAACAACATTTTATAGTTTTGGTAATTTTCGATTTCATTGTTTCAATCAATCATCAATATAATTTTATTTTTAATTGTTTGGTCTGTAGAAATAAATATAAAACACATAAACGCGGGAGCCATTAAGCCTAGAACAAACCACGTCACGAGTCCTATTTAAATGTATCATCATTTATACGTGCTTTAGTAGCCGTCGGCGTCATTACTAACAGGTAATCATGTTGAAAAGCAATTAACCGAGGAACTTAAACAATTTGAACAATTTTATTTTAATGCACATAAGGCGAATGCCTAACGTATGGGTCAAATGAAACCGTATTAGTTGGTCAACTGTGATAACAGGTCTGCGACGCTCGACGTAAAATCTTGACTGGGTGCGACCGGTTTATGCTTCATAATATAACACTTTCTCCTGCGATATGTTTTATTATTATCATTATTAATATACTATTATTATATACATTATACACGGATATAGAAAGTATACAAAACTTTACACCCATCGGTTCGAAGAAAAAACATAAATACATGACTGGTTGTAATCTTCTTTTCAGGTCAAAATAGTGAATACACGAACAGAAATAAAAAACCGGAATTTTACGACAAAGAAACTTATACGTATGATATGTATAAATATTTATACTTAAATTAGAGTAACGCCACGAAGACGCCAAATGGCCAAATGCTGTCAAGAATCGAATGTTTTAACGATCTGCCATGTGTGAGTACATTTCAATTTTAACGACTTCCTTGTCACTTTTTTCTAATTGCATGGTCTGTGAGTTGTGAGTACACTGAACAAAAACTACCATTTATATACCTATACCATGTATATACAATCAGTTTCACGATATCGTGCGTCGTGTTGCATGTAGTATTAAACTACCAATATAAATTATTGGAATTGGATAAATATTGCGACAAAAAGTAATTGTCGTCTGGATTTAGATGTCAATGGTTTCACACAATTGTTGTTATTGCACGTTTTAATGCACTCAAATCATATTACATAATTTCAAATTGTATTTGTTTTTTGTTTTTTTATACAATTGACAGATTACCGGATATCGATAATAGTTCACGAGTTGGGTGCACACGAGTAACAATAGGACTAACTTCATTTCTTCAGTTTTATTTTCTTTCCATAAAAATCAGGCAAGATAGACACGCGTTTAATGATTCGCACATTTATACTATAGACGGTATGGAGGTCCGAGGTACCTATATTTATAAATAATGACATGCGAAATAAACGTTACACAAAGTTGTAAATTGTTCATCATGTATACTATAATTTTAAAACACATAATATTAAGTTTTCTACAATACATCAAAATATATTCAAAAATAATTGTGCAACAATGATTTGTAACTTTTTTGTTACAATTTGAAAGTAAACGTTATAGTTGTGTAAATATCAACTCCAAAAAGGGATGTAGGAAGCTGTAATAATTTAAAATAGAAATGGAATACTAAGAAAGTTTGTTTTTGGTAGTGATAAATTATTAGTGAACGCTATCATCGCTATCATAATAACTATTAGTGCACATAGGATCTTTATTATATTATAATAAAGACGCAGCGCGCACAATTAATGAACATACAAAATATAAATATTTACTATACGTATATAATTATTGAGTAAGACAAAAACAAGACGAGTGACGACGTCAATAGATCTATATAACTTTTTATCTGCACTTAATTATGTAATAAAATAATAAATATAATATAATATAAATTATTTACTTATAAAAGAACCGTAAGATTAATTTAAGTTGTATTATAATACATAAATAATATACATCTAACTTAATCGAAGAAGTTGTGTCGAATAAAATTTTTCATAAAAGAAGATTCATTAAAACTGAAAAACTATTTTTATTGTTATTATTTTATTTTTTAAACAACATTTACCAAATTGCATGTTAAAATGTTAAATTACTTTTTCTTTTTGATATTTAAGCTCGTAATAAAATTTGATTTAAAGTGGAATAACACATTGTAATCAGACTATTTACTGAAATAAATTCAAAATAAGTATTTAATTGATTTTGAAGTGTATGACTAAACATAAATTAGTTTATACTTTCATCATAATCTATTTACTTTGCTTAAATTATTTTTTAATATGACATTTTTGTAAGTATAGATTGATTGATTTGAAACGCTCTAGATTAAAGTCCTTGAATACACCGTATCGAAAAATATATAACATTATAATATAGGTAGCCATAAATAAATAATAAATAATTAATATATTAATTTACATTAAAACATATTATATTTGATGATAAAAAAAAGAAGTTTAAGAGTCGTGACTGCCAATTACATTAATATAAATAAATCTCATTAGACTAAGTTCTAACAAAAAATCAGCACATCATTGTGGTTCTCACGCTGCTTTAATTCTATATAAAACTGAATACGAACAGGTTACAGAACTGATCATTGGGTATTCGTCTCGCTTCGCTCAACTCGGTGAAGGTTAAAATTTTGTTATTTCAAATTTAAAAACCACTAAAATTAATTATCATTTGCATATAAAATAAATTCAATCAGGTTTCGATTAATTCTAAATTGTTTATGATTTAATTTTTAATGTTGTTTACACTTTTATTTTCAGATAATATCGAAAATCACTCAATATTATATAAACTACAATTACTGTTATTAACTACTATTAAATTTCAAAACTATACATAGAATTTTTTTGATCGAGTTGCCAAAAAAAAGCGTTTTTATAGACGATTACAAAACAAAATATCTGTTACTCCCAGATCAGAATAAAAAAATTATATCTAACGGTTTTATTTGTGAGTAAAAAGTACAATAAGTACTATAAGTAGCAGTCAGTAATATAATAATAATTTCCAAATATTTCGTATTTTTACTAATTTCTAAAGAATCATAATTCACAGTTGATATATTTTTAATGTTTTAGTTGTTTAATGTTCATTTTATGGAATACATTGTTTAAATTCCAATATTTTTGTTTAGTATAATAAAAATATACCATTTGTATAGTACAAACAACACATTTTTTAGTTGTCACATGCGACTGTCATTTTTAGACTATTTTGCAATTCATTTTCTTTTATCGGTTTTTATGATAGTAATCGCCATTGAATAATAATTCGTCAGGTGAATTTGAGGTCCACCGTCACTGTATTATAAAGTCTCCGTTAACAATCAATTTGTCCAATCGATACGACTGTTGTGTTAAGTGTATACATGTAGTCTGTTATGGAGCCATGCCGACCTTGTTTTACGAATAATTTAATTCGATCGATCGAAAAACCAACGTATTGTGAACATTGACGATTCGATACATAATTCTATTGACATTTCTCAATCACGAGATTACTGATACAATTTTTTTTCTCTTATTTGTTTTTTTTTAAATCTAGGGTGTATGTACACACGCAATTCAGTAATTGATGGTACATTCTAGAAATTATCATATAACTATAAAGTTAATATTTTCTATGCATATATAAAAAGGTATAATGTAGGCACTATAATATTTGTAAAATAGTAACTAATAATAATTATTATTATACAAATAAACACATTCTATTGCCAATTATTTACCATAAGTATATGCTATGAGCGAATGAGAGATTATTACTTATTGTGGAAATACGTTATTCAATACAATCGCCGTTTTGGTAATTAGTTCAACCAAAGTACATAGTTTATATAAATTAAACGATCTGCATAAATATTAATATAAGTACAAACCATCAGCGTACTCAATTGTATTTTATCACGAACAGAATCAAATAATTATTGTCGGTACTAAGGTAGAACGGTATTATGATAACATACAGAGAATACGTATGTTGTATGTACCTAATGCTTATGTATTATTCTAAAACACTGACGAGCACGATAGAATTGACGAAAAATATTGACATGTTGAACATTTTTGTTTTTTTTCTTCTTTTAAATCATTTAAGTTATCATTTGCTGACATAGTTGTATTATGATAATATTTACAATTATTTTTTCGCTTAAGACGTTAAAAGCTAATCATAAATATTTTTATAACAATAAAGGTGGTATTTTAAATCCAAAAATAGTTTTATTTTTATTTTACAAATATATAGGTACTATTAATGTTTAAAAATGAGTAGAAGTAACACATTAACACGGTCTATAGTTTATACAATTATATCCAACAACTCAAAATATGAAAATAATATATGATATAAACAATGTAACATGGGTGGTATTCAGTTAAGACGTGTAACTGTAAAAACGCACAGAAAACAAACAAATACTTTATAGTGATAATAATAATATTTCATTGTATTATATACACAATGGCACAAAATTTTGTACACTACCGTTGAACATAAAATATTTACACTAACAT